CACTATAAGTATGTAACCCAGGCTGGTCTCGAACTCAGTGATCCTCCTGCCTCAGCTTCCCGAGTGCTGGGATTACAGGCGTGCACTACCACGCCTTGCGAGGCTCAGATACTTTTGGAAGGGGAAGGCAGAGCCAAGTTAAGAAAGGGCAAACATAGAGCTAAGAAAGTTCAACTGCCTTCTGTGAGCAAGGGTGGGTCACAGTCCAGTCATGATGCAAACTTTATCTTAGAAGGTATCAGTAGGGTGTAAAGAAGGCCTTTGGCCACAGAGAGAACACAAAAAGCAAGAAAGGATAATGGTGTCCAGTGTATGTGGAAGGGGGAATAATGTGGTTAGGGCTATGAGACGCGGTGGACTACTTACATTATGTTGGCATTCTGGATGCTTCTTTTATAAGCCAAGTTTAAAAGCCACTGCTTTGGGGGAATCAGTGTTGGGCTGGTGGGCAGTGTAAGCTCTCAGACAAGATGGGTGCTTCCAGATTGGGGCACTGTCAGTGTTTGATACGTGACTACCTTCCAGGATAGGTGTCAATTCCATTTGAGGAATTCCTCTCATATAGTGATAGTCATATCGGGGAAATAAATATAGCTCCCAGCCTGGACATGTTAGATATGCTGAGTGGGTGCTCCCCAAAGTCGAAGGATGAATTCTGAGGAACAGTGGAAGTTAAGAGTAGGAAATATTTATTGAGAGAGATACAGCTCCTGAGAGACAGAAGGGGAACCAAAAATGGGTTGCCACAGAACCCACTTCACAGAGGAAGTTTTATAGAGCAAAATTACAAGGTGGGTATGATGTGGGTCAAAACTGTAACCAACCAATAAGATTACAGGTATAGCTGCTTAGGTTAATATTGATCCAGTGGGGAAGCAGATCATGTAGCATGTAGCAAGTGTGTAGGGAAAGACCAAAGAATCTTTTCAGGAAAGAATGGATCTGGGGGTTACTGGTGTCTAGACTTTATTGGTCTTAAGTGTTACCACTTCTCCCCCGGGGAGGCATGTAGGCCTGGTCATTCTGTCTTTCTTGAGGCCTGGCCTCCAACAGATGTGCCTCTGGCCATGGTTGTGTTTTCATCTTTTGTATTGACTCTCTTGAGTGCCTCGCCCTGTCAGACTGCCTATATTTTTGCATAACTTAGCTGTATATGATATTAGGATTGACTTCGGTTGGCCCACCCATGTCCTTCATCCTCGTCACGGGGTAGAACGTGAGGATGACTGAAGTGATAGATGTTACTAGCCCCATCTTGTAAGGTCGTCAGCTCACACACACAGATCTGCTGAGAGAATGTAGCTGGGGTAAGCAGTGACATACCACGCACTCCCATGGATTGGGACACTAGAACTTTGACCTACAACTGAGAAGTAGTTTACTAGTGGAACCGCTAGGCTGTTGTAGATACATTTACTTACTATGAGAATGACTCACAGCGTGGTTGCTTATGGGAGAGAAGAGGAGGAGTGGGCAGGCTCCATGGCAGGAGCATTTAGCTAAGAGGAAGAGCAAGCCTGAGTCTTGGCTTTGAGAGTTTGGAAATGGCACCTTGTATGTGGTAGGAGTTGTAAGGAGAGGAGAGTGCAAGGTCCTGCTTAAAAGGCCAAGAAGGCCTGCATTGCGAGTTCTCCCACTTACTGACTGGGCAGTGCCTGTGGAAAAATTACTTCACTTTAAAAGCTCTAGTGCACAGCTTTTAGTATATAGATTTTGAGATGTTATAGACAGAGTGTAATTGTTTAAAAAGAAGGAATTTCATTGAATATGATACAAAGGAATATGAGTCTGTCTGAAATCATTCTACCTCTGAATGTTTTTTCTTGTCCTGAAGTTATAATGTGAGCCAAATGTTTATGCCCAGACCTAGCTGCTTTGTTGTGTGCATGGGTTTGCCGTCATTTTGAAAAGTCTTTCTTTTCACCTATCTGAACAGAAACTGAAGCTGCAGAGTGGAGAGACAACAAAAGAAGAGAAGCCCACATCAGCCCAGTCCAGCCCAAGCAGCACCCCTCATTCTTCCCCGAAGCAAAAGTGCAGGTGAGCCCTTCCCCAGACCCTTCTGAGCCCCAGGAAAGTGGAGGCTCAGTTCACAGTTCCTCAAGTTCTTTCTAGAAGTGAGACACTTCTAGAGGTGCAAGAAGAAGATACATTAGGTTATGTTTTATTCTCTCTTCCAGAGGCTGGTTCATGTCTGGTTCCTCCACGGCCTTAACGGGCCCAAATCCTAACACCATGGATCAGGGAAGTGGGGATAAGGATAGAACCTCATTAGATAAATGGAATGTCTTTGGACCAAGACCCCTCCAGAAGTCTGATTCTGGTAAGGCAGCTTCTCCAGAGAAGACAGCAACGAGGCAGACTTTAACCATGCTGTCCACCGAGTGCCACCTACTGCAGTCATTTGTTCTTTGGTCTGTTTCTGTAGGTGGTTTTGCTGTCCAGCCCTACAAAGGAGCTCAGAAGCCCTCTCCCATGGAGCTGATCCGTGCCCAGGCCACCCGACTGTCTGAAGATCCAGCAACCTTCAAGCCACCCAAGCTGGACATCCCAGTGACAGAAACGAAGAAACCACCACTGCGAACCCATAATCTCAAACCACGTGATTTGAATGTGCTCACACCCACCGGGTTCTAGCCTGCTTCTATCCCAGGGTAGAGGGTTTCTTTTGTCCCACTTCCCTTGGCTCTCATATAGGAATGGTATATTTTTAAACCTCTTAAATGGAGGCTACCGCTGGAGATACAATTAATTTTTGAAAAACAGTGTAAAGCTTGTACTTGTGTGGAAGAAACCATTTTGTACTGCTTTAGACTAAAAACGTCTGAGCAGTAATGTAGGGGACCTTGCAACCTATTTTTGTATCATGTACCCTAGACAACTTTAATCACTGCTTACTAGGTATAATGTTTATGCTAATCCAGAACTGCGATTTGATTGTTTTATCATGATCAACACGAACACTGACAAATCATGGTGTAGAGGTGCCCACTAACTTGGCTGGGCAGCTTTGGCCCTTTGGACCATGCTGGTGTTGTGCTCCAGTTCACCATTTGGGACCTAAGATACATTTGAGATCTGGGTACATTAGCAGCCAGGCCAGGGAGGGATCGCACTTGGAGGCACCTTGCTTCTTAGTCAGCCTAATGGGTCCTTTTGTCCTGCAGCCATTCCTTCATGACTTGTTACCTCCTAGGCCATCACCACAGGAGGGACACTTCCCTCTTACCATAGAACAGTGTTGCTCTTACACTTTAAAATGAGATTAGTTTAAATCCAATTTGGTTGAAAAGTAAGGGAAAAAATTCAGCCTCCTTGATTTCAAACTGATTATATCTATGTATCTATACACCTATAGATATATATTTAAATTTTTTTCCTGGGGGTGGTGCTAGGAATGAATCTGGGGCCTTGTACATGCTAGGCAGGCACTATACCACTGAGCTGTACCCCTAACCCCTACATATTAAATATTTTTTAGCATAAAGATGGTTAGTACAGATACTTTAGGTTCATATAAAAATAATATGTCATCTTTTTTTTGATTTTTGTCCAGATCAGAGTCTGAAATTTTGTGAGGTGGGAGTGGTTCGAGTTCAAAATTTTTCTATAAGTGAAAGAATTTTTCACTAAAATGAGGTGCATACATTTATGCAACACGTATCTTACTGAAGGAAAGAGAAACTGCCTTTTTATTTCTTCTCACTGTGTACAAGTTCATTGTTGTGAATACTGTCTCAAATATTGCTGGGGTTTTTTTGCTGTACTGGGGATCAAACTCAGGACTTGTGCTTTCAAGGCAGGCACGACGCCACTGAGCTAAATCCCCAACCCATGCTGTTTTTTGTTTCGGGTAGCATTTTGTTTACAGAGGAACTGACCTTCCATAGAGAAGTCCTGAAGTCTAAAATTGTCACAATTAACTTATTTGTGTCATTTTCTTGTTTTGACAATAAAAATCCTTATTACTTTCTCATGTGTGGGTATCTTTTTGCCCTGTTTTGAATAGCCATTCTGCTTTCCCCAGTCATGGAACCTAAGCATGGTAAAGTTGATATTTTGAAAAACTGTTGGCTTTTTATTATACCATTTTAACATCAAATGTTTTATAACACATGCTGTCCTTTTGTTTCTATGTACTACCCCCCTTTGTTACACTAGATATCAATAGACTGGCAACAAAGTCATATTTATAGGTAATATAAAAAGTCTACTATATGATGTCTATGTTCTATTAGGGAAAAAACATCTTTCCAGAAAAAGGCTGGCAGTGCTTTGAGTGATGTAACAGTGACATAATTTATCTGGCAGAAGATTCTCATGTCTTGAATGGAAATGTTAAAATATATAGTGCATATACTACTACCTGTGTCAAGTATAGATAAATAATTTATTAAAAATATATATACACCTTGTGTATTTAAGCCATGTGAGAATAGGCTAGAACAGGATTATTTTTTAAAAAGATACACACTGAAGACTCAGTTATAACCTACAGATAAATAAGATAGGTTTGGTCCTGTGAGATTTTAACTACTGGTCATACTTTGAGAGCTTCTAAGTAGATGGCAACAGTTTGAGGAGGTATTCTTGGTACTCAGTGCTTAGGAGACCCTCATGGGCTGTTCTAGTGCTTCGAGGCTGGCTCTGCATCAGGGTTCAGATCCGCAGCATAGAAGAGCAGGAGCTTCAACAAGTGCACTTTATTTTGGAGCTGGGGGACCAGAGGCTCCCCTAGCGTCTGGATCAGGCGGTTGCGGAAGGCCTCGATGTGCTTCTCCACATCCATCACTGTGATGTCATCTCCTTGCTGGGGCTTGGGCTTAATCCTTTTGATGATCAAATCTTTTCGATCAATCACTGAACTGCGCAGGTGTTCTGGAAGAGTCAGTTAAAGTGGAATGCTTTTTATTATTTTACAATTTATGAAGGTAAAGTCCAACTTGAGAATCTAAAGGCCTATTGCCTAGCTACTGGGAGACAAGTCACAGGCACGAGAGTTCCTGTGGTAGCCCTCTTTCCAAAAAGAAAAGGCCTGTGTTTTTTGGTACTGGGGATCGAATTCAGGACCTTGCACTTGCAAAGCAGGTGGTGGCACCACTAAGCTAAATCCCCGGCCCAAGCCTGTGTTCTTTATTTGGACATTCCAGAAATTTTAACATATTAAAAAATTATATTCTTGTGCAAGGTCCTGAGTTTAATCCCGGTACCAAGAAAAAATTGTATTCTTTTAGTTCTTTTCCCTCCTTTTGACTTAATAATGAAACTGTTTCAAATTAATGCTACTTGAAAAAATTCAGGTGAATTTTGAATAACTTTAGGTAGATTCCTAAATATGAAGAGAAATGGACATTCCTAAGTATGAAGAGAAATGGAAAGAAATACTGAACTAAGTTTATGGTGGTACTGTTTTATCGAATATTTTGAAACTTTTCTCCCACTTAAGCTCCTGGTACTGGGGATCGAATCTAGGGCCTTTGCACTGAGCTACATTCCCAGCCCTTTTTATTTTTTGAGACCAAGTCTCACTAAGTCACTAAGTTGCTCAGGCTGGGCTTGGACGTGTGATTCTCCTGCCATAGCCTCACAGAGTTGCTGCCATCACAGGTGTGCCACCATGCTGGGCTCTGAAGCTGTATGCATGTGATAGATTAAATAAATACATACAACTCATTGGGAGCAAAAGTTCTCATGAGAAAAGGGAGATTCAGATATGGAACGGGGAGAGAGGAAGAATCCTGTGGTATTGAGTAGAGACTGAGGTGTCAGTATGAACATGTATTATATATATATTGCTGCCATCACAGGTGTGCCACCATGCTGGGCTCTGAAGCTGTATGCATGTGATAGATTAAATAAATACATACAACTCATTGGGAGCAAAAGTTCTCATGAGAAAAGGGAGATTCAGATATGGAACGGGGAGAGAGGAAGAATCCTGTGGTATTGAGTAGAGACTGAGGTGTCAGTATGAACATGTATTATATATATATAT